TGTTTTTAAAGTGCTATATAAATACATTCTGATTTTATTTAATCTACTTCATGTACTGATATACAACAAACAAACCACAAATATATAGACTAGTCACAAATTATCTTCATCTACACCAACACTATTCAAACTCCACCTACACGTTCATGTATTTAATGTAATAATGACCCTATGAGGTACACTCTACTTGATGGATTAGGCCTCTAAAAATTCTCACAATGAGCACATTTTCTTTTAATTTTAAGCACATTCTCATGATAATACGTCAATGAACAACTGCGGTACTTGTAATTGATCAGTATGTTTATATGGTGAATTTACTAATTTTATCTGTGTAAGGGAGCTTAATACTACTTCAAATAGCATCTATAGGCCTGCAGCCTTTGCTGACACCAAACTGAAGAGCCACCTGTTGAATTTAATCCACAGCTGTCTACTCAAAATCTGTGGTTCAACAACATTAGCTGGAGAATCTTCGTGTGTGCATCTGAGGCCATATCTATCCTTATCTACCCTTGGTTGTGAGCTGAGCCCTCCTAGTCCCTGGAGCTGTGCAGTTCATCGCAGCTCATTGGCTAACCAATGAACTGGAACAGCAGAATCTATCTTCACAGAGCGAGCAACAGCAAGAGTGAAGAGGGAGAGGAGAAAGTTGCAAAGGTGAGGCAGGTGTGTGGCAGAGGGTGGCTGCATGATGGGAGAGATGGACAGATGGTGAATGGAATATGAAGAGAGATCGGAAGGATCAATAAGAAAAAATAAGGTAATTGAAGAAAACTGAGAAAGAAGGATAAACGAGTGAGGGATAGTGGACAAAAAATGGCTATAAGAAAGGACAAGAGGGATGTGTGTAAGTTAACCTCCTAAAAAGGATTTACATGTATATCCAATACATAAAACATTTGCAATATACTTGTCATGTCAGTGATGGAGACCGAAGGTCCCTCCATTCCTTGTATCTGTGTGTGAATGCTGATCTGGTACTGGCTGCTAGGAGTCAGGTTGTAGAAACACTGTCGGGAAGCACCACCTCCCTGGCTCACTTCCTGCCTCTGACCATCTGCAAGTTAAAACAAAACAAAATAATGAGTCATCAAATCCTAACAAAGTAAAATCCCTCTAAAGCTCCAGTTTCAAATCAGCTTTATTTACATAACATGTCCTCTTTTAGAGCTATGTTCTGCATCAAGCCTGGGAGCTGCAAAGTATTATCACTGTCTTTGAAAATTGGATACTAAGCAGCATTATCAGAGCAGTCAGTTGCCAAAATGCCTTGCTCAAGGGCACAATAAAAGGTTGGCTGCTGAAGCACTACAGCAGCAAGCATTCACCACCCTGCAATGATATGCTCTGCTCAACTGGAGATTTAAACTAGCTTTGTAGATCTTGCCTCCAACTATAGAAACACTTGTAAAATTACTATTGATAACAGAGATATTAATATTGATACTTAGTGTAAGAGATGGTGGTATTTTGTACATTTTTAGCTCAGTGCATGACTCAACTGCCCTGGTGGGGCTTCGCATTTTGTTGACTGTATTTTTACCCAGAATTTAACTAAATTGATTGATGAAAAAACTCATCCAATCTGATAGTTTTCTTACAAATCAATGTAACATGTAAACAAACGACATGAGGTGAAAAAGCCGATCTTGTGCAGCTTTACTCACGTATTACTCCTTAAAGTGAGATAACTAGAATAAATGTATCACATCTTTCCTGTTGTCAATTTCTCTTTGATTGCAGACTGCAAACACAATTTTGCGTTTCATTTAAAAGGCTGTAGAGGATCAGCAAAAAAAAACAAAAAACAATTTACTGGAAAACACACACTAATAGCTGCCATTTATCAGTTTCATTAGTCTAATTCTGTTTTCTAACGTGCCTCATCTTAAAAATGGACAAAATCACCCATCTTCCACCCAGGCAACAACCACAGATAATAAAGTTTAGGAAGCAGCTGTCACTGAGAGTCTGCACTTTTCCATATGAGAAGGTGTTTAAGCCGCTGCCTGTGTGGATTAAACCAAATCTCTAAATTCTAGCTAGAACATCCAACTACTGCTCAGGCAGGAGAGAGACAGAGATAACTAGATGAAAAGAGAATTCTTCCTCCTCCTTTTTGCTGTCTTAATTCTGATAGCTAAAGGTGCATACTCAACACTTACTGGTCATGTTTTCTGCAAGTACAAGTAGCTTTTATTTATGTCTGTAATCCTTATGATGCCCTACTGTAGCTTCCTCCAACCCTCTGCTGGAACCTTGTTGGGAAAAACCATGTTAAAGCAGTGCTAACATTTGATATCACCATTTTTCACAGAAGGCATTTTGACCAACAGACAGGTCCAACTAATCATAATGACTGCATTCAGCCTGCTCTGAGTCACTATTAGGACCCATATTATGCCCTAATATGTGCAATGACTGCTGCCTCACTCGCATGTCTAAGTGGCACCGGGTCATCACTAACGTCACTGGTAACACCGAGCACACACATATTATACCATTTCAAGTGTTCAGTTTAAGAGAAAAATAGTGAAACCTTTCTAACATAAAGGTTCAAGAAGAAACAGGCTAACTTTAGAAGAAGCACTTAAATTGGTCCAAAAGGTAGCTCTTTTACAACAATATGGCCTTCAGTGAGTTAAGTGGGTTTGTACCGGATTCCTTTCCTTGGCAGCGATAAAGCCAGCACCACATAATACACATATTCTTCAGCCTGTCTGCACCTATAATGCATTCTAACATTTACTGTTTTATGAAACTGGGTGATAACACTCTTAGTGCTTTTTGAATCAACTGAACTGATTCAGGTGCCCATGCATCTTTTCTCATTACTCTCTTAGGAGTTTCTGTGAAGTGAAGTGAAAACCTGCTGTCACTGCATCTAGTTCTGAGTAACCTTTTGGCACATGATGACATTTAAAA